ACAGAAAAGGCTTTGCGTGCATTCTACTGAAAAGTCGAATGCGTGAATTAGCAATGTAATTATAATTATACATTTTCTAACTCCTAACTTCAAGTAATTACAACGCTTCAGAGTGTCAATTAACTATCCAAACCCCGTGTCTAATCACTAACAAGTGAGAATATATTTAGTTCATTTTTTTCTTGTGCTTATTACTAGATCCTACAATGTGTATCCCTTCACATTCATAAAATAATTTCATTTATGCTGTTTCCATCCATTATTCCTGTTGATCCTACTTGTAACCTAGGGCACCAGTGAAACGCTTTGTTTCACTTCAGTTTCTTAGTCTTAGACAGTCGGTAGTACTCTTTCGGCAGGGGATCAGCCCGTCGCAAGGCCGCTACATACACAGGACAACGCAAACACAAAATAAACATAGATAAACATCCATGCCTTGAGTGAGATTCGAACCCACGATCCCAGTGTTCGAGCGGGCGAAGTAATTTCATACCTTAGACAGCGCGCCCACTGTGATCGGCCCTATTTACCTTAATACTACAATGTTATACAAAGATGTAAGATTTGAGGCTTTCACGGCGGTGACTATGAAGAAAGCAGTCTTCTGGGATTTGGCACCGTGTATCTGTGGTGTTAACCGACGTTTCGGAGGAACGTATCGCCTCCATCTTCAGGGTAGAAGAAAATATAATATATATTATATTTTTTCTTCTACCCTGAAGATGGAGACGATACGTTCCTCCGAAACGTCGGTTAACACCACAGATACACGGTGCCAAATCCCAGAAGACTGCTTTCTTCTTATACAAAGATATTCATGGAATGAAGACTGCAGTTTTAATTAACACATGTAATGTAATTTCTGTTGTATAAGTAACTTTAATGTGTAGGCAAGCTGAGATGTGTATGTACAACAGCAGATTTGGACAGAAGCTGGTCCGACAGCCTCTCACTAGAACCCAGCTCCTTCCCTTAGAATTGCAAACAAGCAGAACTACCGAGTCTCCCAACAAGAGGCTCCTGGAAGGAGCTTCAGTTGCTAGTGTCCCTATGACTTCATGATTCGCAATGTGCAAAAACTACTTTATGTAAACTACTTTTTAAATCTCATTTTACGCTGCCTCGAAAATGAAAAATCATTTACTTATGCTTTGATAACACAAAGTTCTTGACGATGCTGATTTTCACTACAGCTGCTTTATTCTGCTTATACAAATTAGCATTAAAATGCGCTGGGTCATACTTCATCGGTCCACATTTATACCAGAAGCTATGATGATAGGGCAGCAGTCGTGGGGGGGGGGGAAGAGATGGTGACAGTGACTGTGCCGTGGCGAAACCGAAGAAACAAAAGATTTATAGCAGGCGAACTAATTGGAACAGAAGAAAACGTTGTCTCGGGTGGGAAATATATAAGTAGAATGGTGAGTTTAATGAAAACAAATAAAGAAGAATTACTGTGATGCCATGGTAATTTACCAGCATTCAGTAAATGGTGTAGGATGGCGTGGAGTCGATATTCTGAATTTAGTGGAAAGCATTAAATTAGAATTTTGATGAGAAATGAGGTTCCCGTGGCGGTAACCATGAACATTTCTGTTTTCCGGCATATGCCGCAGTGCAATTTGATGAATAGTTACCGACGTTTCGAAGGAAGTGATGGGTTAATTTTCGACGCTATTAGTAGCTGTATTACATAGCGTCGAACGGTAAAATGACGACTCGCGAATTTGACAAGATTTTGGTGGAGGTGGTCCTGATTTAATTTAGGTAAAATTGGACATTTTTCTGTACAGACTGAGGTAAACCACAAAAAAAAAATCAATAACCGGCGTCCCACTCGAGATTATAAGAGAATACCTCCAAAATACAAGTCAAGAACATTAACTCTACGCTAACCTGCTAGGGGATTTTTCGAATTCCAGCATCCATCTTCAGCCAACAGTTAGATGACAGTCAAATGGTGGCAATACTTTCCTCCGAAACGTCGACAACGATCCACAAGGTCGCATGTTATCATATTCCAGATGACGATAGCATAATTATTCACCTGTTCCCACAGCAGAAACAGCAAGGTGATGTGTTCTAATGCGTTATCGGCAAATGCGCTTGCCCCACTTGCCTTCCTGTTCATTCATTGCACATACAAACCCACTGCTGCAAATATATTCATAGTACTGGTATCATTCTACATTGAGCTAGAGTGTGTTTTCTCTACTTTATGGCATGCTGTACCGACTTTCATAAGAGCCGGGATAGCGCAGTCGGTATAGCGACTGAGGGGTCGGAGTTCGTGTTCCAGTAGGGTACAAAATTTTCTCTCCTCCATGTCGTCCAGACCGGTACTTGGGACTAATCAGCCTCCTATCCAATGTGTATCAGAGGCTCTTTACCCGGGGGTAAAACGGCCGGGTCATGAAGCTGACCAATCACCTGGAACTAGTGCCGAGGTCACGAAAACGTGGGTCTATACATCGACTCCCCCATACGCATTCATGGCGTAGTGCTTAATTAAACACATGGACAACTTTTCCCTTTTTTTTTTCCTTGGCACTACAGCCCCAGTGGGCCTAGGCCTACCTCCATGAACTTCTCCGTTCACTTCGGTTTTTCTAGATCTTACACATTCGGTAGGACTCCTTGGGCGGGTGATCAGCTCGTCGCAAGGCCTCTACCTGTACACAAACACAGAAAAACGCACACACACACAATCTAAACATCCATGCCCTGAGTGGGATTCGAACCCACGACCCCGGTTTCCAAGCGAGCGAAGATGCTACATGCCTTAGACCGCTCAGCTACCGTGACCGGCAACTTTACCTTTTACCTTACCGAATTTTGTAGGATGAGCGGTTTCTTAGAAAGATATTCAATTCAAGTTACAGGTAAATCAGTGGTTATATTAGAACAATAGAGTTCAAAATTACATTCGCCCGGACGCAAAGATACAAATGCCAAATTTAATCGAAATCCCTTCATTAGTTTCGGACGCCAAACGCATAAACCTATTCGATATGCTTTCATTGTTTCACTCTGTACATATGAATAGTGCACAATAGCGTGTCTGGAAATAAATGAAAGAGGTGATTAGTAAAATTAAAGTTGGAGTAAAACTAATTTTGGTTATCGATTTTCGTTAATGATTGAATAATAGCGGGATCAAAGGACACATCCGTTAGGCATAGCTGCACTAACGTTAACTGATCATTACAATGCCCGCACACATACCACAGCGCCATAGATTAAATAAGTAGGTATATATTTTCATTATCAGGCAGGATTTAATATAATGGTCTATCCCGTTCCAATTACTATCCAATTTAGCCTCTCCGTTTATTTTTTGGCCCTCATACATGCCTTTTCTTTCGTTGGTCACACCTGAAAACTCTCATCGAAACAGATTTTCTTCTGTTTAATGACAAAATTTTATTTTCTTTCGTGGGCCATAACTGAAACTCTCATCGAGACAGAATTTTCTTCTGTTTAATGACAAAACTTTATTTTCTTTCGTGGACCACAACTGAACTCTCATCGAGACAGAATTTTCTTCTGTTCAATTGCCAAAATTATCCTTCGTGGGCCACAACTGAAACTTTCATCGAGGCAGAATTGTTGTTCTGTTCGATGAAAAAATGATATTTTCCTTAGCGGGCCACAATTGAAAACTCTCATTGTGAGATAATTTTCTTCTGTTCAATGAGAAAATTTTATTACCAACGTTCTTCTGCAACTGACATTTAGCATCGTCTCTAGCCTTTTAACTATAAGTATATAGCGCAAGGAGAAGAAAGTATATAGTATAAGTACAGGATGGCCCAAAAGTCAGTTAACTTAAAATATGCCTTTGTATTAACAGAAATGATCGGATTTAAACCTGCCAATCAATCTATAGAATGCGATCACAGCACCGCGAGTCGTTTATTGAACATGGGAGATCTCATTTCGAATAATTTTTCTAAATTCAGTAAGTATTAACAAAATTTTACGATATTTAGTCTACACTTTGGGCGGCGCCATAGCTCAAGCGGTTAGACGCTGGCTTCCCGCCGCGGCGGCCCGGATTCGATTCCGGGTCTGGTCAAGTGGGATTTGTGGTGCACAAAGTGGCGCTGGGGCAGGTTTTCTCCGAGTACTTCGGTTTCCCCTGCCAATCTTCATTCCATCAATTGCCCCACAATAACCGTCACCTATCATCTTGGGCTGCTACAATAGGCCAGAATTGACCGCAGTACAAGGGACTTAGTCCCACTCCACTAGCAATAAAAAAAATAGTCTACATTTTACCGACCAGTTTATTGACTTGGGCAATTCTGCATATAGCGTAACTTCTGCCTCCCACATCAACAATACAATGCAGCAATTTAAGAGATTCAGTGTTCCTCTTCTATTTGAGAGAATATATTTTGGCTGATGTTATCAGCATAAAAACACTACTCAACAACAACGCACCTACACAGGCTGAATGATGAACCTTCTGCCAAAGGGGCACATACAAGAGAATATAACACCACACATACATCCAAGAACTATATGATAACACGAATAAAACACATGGCACAGGAAAAGTTGCGCAAACAACTCATTTGGACGAGAAGGCGATACCCACAGGAAGAATGGGATTTAACTGGTTTTAACAAAAAAATATTAGGGTTCACCCATTGTAACTTAATTTTGATAAGAAACTGTGACATACCAAGCAGTGCAGCGGGTTTAGCATAATGGTGGACACCTGAAGATGGCCGTGTATGGCCCATACGTGTTGAGAACGAAGAAGTGATTGTAATGAGTTGCATTGGTGACGGATGTACGTGTACTGACGCAACAGGATGCTTAAATACAACAGTACATGATGTACGTTCAGTTGGAGATCCCATTATGCCACTGTATTCTGTAACGCTGTTCGTACATCCCCACAAACCGACTTCTAGAGGATCCCAATTTCTCTACTTGAAGTTAAGAGTCGGCAGGGAAATGTGTACTTGCGAGATGTGTGAACTTACCTGTTGGTACATGAGGACCTCTGGGACATTTGCAGACCGCATCACGACCACTTTGGTAGGGGCACTGGAACACGCAACCCGCTTCTCCGCATTCTGTAATCATAAAACACAGGATTACTGCTCATCCTTTTTAACTTCTCATTTCATAACAACACGTCAATCCGTTCTCTAAAACTGCAGAATATTCTTAACTGCTTAAAAAGGGGATATCTTCCCTTAATGCGCCGCTGTCAAGCGATGAAATTCTGATGGAAGAGAGGCAATTTTAGAAAATGGTATAAAAGCTTTGCATTAAATTGGAGCTAAAATGAAACATGCTTCTACGCGAAAATATTCTTATGTTCGCATAAAGTAATCATTCCCAGTTCCCTTCACAATTAAAAATACTTTAAAATTAGGAAAACATTCCATTAACTCTTCCGTAAATAAACACACACCCTGAACATAAAATATGATTTCGTATTTAACCTTTTAAACATCAAGCTTCGGTTAGTAATATTTAAAAATCCATTTCTAAACGAATCGTCATAAGAAATGTTACTTTTCAGTGTTGTTTAATAAATTTATTCTGAAATCCAAATGAGAAACATAAACATTGTCTGAAGTACCAAATTATGAACGTTAAAATAGGTCGAATACATAGCTACCCCTTCGACGGATTAAGATAAGTTGTTGAGACACGAAAGCATTTCGGACCGTATTTTACTAAGTTTACAGCGCGTTTCATCTTCACAAATCTATTTTCTTTCCTTTGTGAAATGCCATCAGAAAGTGCCTACAGGAGAACCACTTTAACATGTAGTTCCGATAACTTTCGCAATAAGTATGATTAATATTTCATTGGATAGATCTTTAGCACGCATGGGATAGTGAATGTATGCATTTTTAAGGAAAACTTGAACGATGAACATTCGGAAAACTAGACTTGGATTGGAGTACATTACTACAACTAGTCTTAAACATTTATTTTCTGAAAACGTAAAAATTAGAATATCCAAAATAATAATTTGCCTGTGGTTCTGTATAGGTACAAGGGTGTTTAAGAACAGGGTGCTGAGGAGAACAGTTGGACTTAGGAGAGATGAAATGACAGGAGTTTGAGAAAAATGCATAAGGGACTTCATAACCTGTACTCTTCGCCATATATTATTAGAATGACCAAAGCAAGGAGGATGCAATGGACAGGGTATGTAGGATATTGGTGGGAAAGTCGTAAGGAAGGAGATCACTAGGAATACCAAGATGTATGTTAGGGGATAATATTAAAATGGAGCTTAGAGAGATAGAATGGGGTGGTATGGACTGGATTGATCTGGCTCAGAGACCAGTGGAGAACATCTGAATATGGTAATGAACTTTCGGGATTCATAAAACGTTGGGAAATTCTTGAGTAGCTGCACAACTGGCGGCTTCTCACGAAGTGCATCAGCTCCATGGAGCTAGTTTAGTTAGTTAGTCTTACACAAATAGGTTTTAGGACGTTGGGTGCCTTGACAGGATCCTGACAGGGACCAGTTTGTGTTCCTGTGAAAAAGGCAAAGAACCTTCGAGTTCCAGAAAAGCTGAATAATTACTTGACTAAAGCATCTGAAGCCCCTGCTTCATCAACGTAATGTGTAGATGGGGATATAAGAGCTTTTATACTGTGACAGTCGGTAGCCGAGCGGTCTAAGGCATGTACTGTCTTCACTCGCTTGGAAACCGGGATCATGGGTTCGAACACCACTCAGGGCATGGCTGTTTAGTTTGTGTGTGTGAGTTTTTCTGTGTTTCTGTACAGGTAGAGGCCTTGCGACGAGCTGATCACCCGCCCAAGGAGTCCTACCGTATGCGTAAGATCTAGAAAAACCGAAGTGAAGGGAGAAGTTCATGGAGGTAGGCCTAGGCCCACTGGGGCTGTAGTGCAAAGGGAAAATACTGTGACAGTAAGAACATGTGGAACAACCTGTAGACATTTGTGACGGAGACACTCTTACTGAATGTATGCTATAATCTAACGGATGAAGCATCTATTTGGAAGGTATTCGCTGTGTTCCGTTTCGTTTGATTCCCTAAATACACCTTGCAACCTCTCTATAACCTGCTGGTTACAACGCTTCATTTTATTCATCAGCGTTTCTACATCCCTTTGTAGGACCCTGGCCTTTTCTTCAGTTCCGTAATCGTTTTTACACAGGCGGTAGGACATCTTGGACGGGGATCAGCCCGTCGCAAGGCCGCTATCTACAAGCACGCCAATACAAACCCAGAATAAATGCACATACAGACATCCATACTTCGAGTTGGATTCGAACCCACGATCCCAGTGTTAAAGAGAGTGAAGACAGTTCATGTCTTAGACCTCGAAGCTACTGTGATCGTAACTGGTTAAAAGGAGCAGTTATTAATTATAATTAACATGTCTGTTATGTGTTTGGAGTATAAAGAGCGAGCTATGCCACATACTGCGGCTAGGAGGTGAGGCAGGACAGTTCTTGCAGTCCCCACCGGATGCTGCTAATGGTTCTTCTTAGAAATTTCAGAGTTTTGAGACGGCGGCAAAACGTTTGAGTAATTCTAGCTTTCACATCTTTTGCGGCACTTCATCTTCCAGTGGGAGGGTCAAAGGCCAAAGCTGTAGCCATTATCAATCACGGGCCTGTCCAGGATGCCGTTTAAGCCTTAAGGTTCAAAATCGCTTAGAAGTTCCAGTTGACTGGAAATCCGGAATTTCCAAAGACTTCTGAACTTCTAAACTGGGTTATCCAGAAAAGAAATAAGTAAGGCAACCTTTCCAGAGAAGAGGGGTCCTGAAATTTCTGGACGTTAGAAGCTCTCGGCTCTGCGAGGAATCTTGTTTTAACTCTTGGAGCTTTCAGACCCAAACTCGCGTAGCTCCTGTTAAATTCTAACTTCTGGACCTCTCGGTTCACCAATGCAAGTGCACTACCTTATCAGAGTGAGAGTCTGGTAAAGAAACGTTGGCATATAAATTATTAGGAAGCGTGTTATATTATTAAAGTGGAGTCAAGAAACTAGGATTCAGAGTGAAGTAACCAGTGCTATGTAATAAATACTAACTCCGAGTGCAAACAGCAGTTACTGTCTCTGTACGTGCGTGCGTGCGTGTGTATGTGTGTCTGGAAGAGTGTTCTTCCTGCCCTGCCAGAGCAAGGGTCGAAACCCAGTCACAGACCAGAGCTAGCCATCTTCCTGTTGAACTTTACCCGAAGACATTACATTAATAGGCGGGTACCGCAGCCTGGTGACTCCATTCGTTCATTCATTCATCTATCCATCAATTTAATATTCCTGTTGCTCCTTCTGCAGCATAGGGCATTCCTGAAATTCTTCGTTTCACATCAGTTTCTTAATCCTGTAGACAGTCGGTAGGACTCCTCGGACGGGGGATCAGCCAGTCATAAGGCCGTTATCTAACACAAATATAGATTCAACACAGACAGACATCCATGCCTGTTTTGAGATTTGAACCCACGATCGCAGTGCTCGAGCGGGCGTAAACTGTTCAGACCGCACGGCCACTGTGGTCGGCAGTCTGGTGACACTGGCTCCCAAATCAGTCCTTGCGCCTTCCCAAACCATCACCTCATCAACAAGGAGAAAGGGGTAGAATGTAAGATCATCAATATCATCAGCAGAGTTATCGGTTTTGCTTACTGCCGGAGAGGCCCACACCGTCATCCAGGTTTGCTCCAAAGAGCGAGGCAGTTGATCGGTAAAATGTGGCGCTTCCAACGCAAAGCCCTCCGTTCTCACATCGGCCCGCTATAAAGCGAATGTCTATAACCTCCCCCCACCCATTCAAAACTTTCGAACTGAATATCTTGTCACACCAATAAAATGTACCCTCAACACACACACACAGTGTTGGTGTGGTAAGAAGTCAAATGTCTGATATGCTGACCCACCAAGAACTGTAATAATATTTGGGCGCTTTGTCACAAGGCCATGGCTGCAGGCTTGTATAATCTTTGTCCCCCACCCCCACCCCCACCCCATGCATTTCGGGAATCGTGGGACCTAGCATTACGTGAAGTCTGTGCCCGAAAACTTTTCAGGGAAATCCGCATCAACTTGATCACGCATTCCCTACCGTTTTGATGACTGATACGAGAGCTGTAATTTATAATGGTACAGACATAAAAATTCCTTACATCCGTCACTTCACGTTAAGTAATGGAAACATCAATTTCCGCATAACATGAAGGCAAGAATTTACCTACATGGTCATTTCCAATGCAACATTATTAATATGCGACAGAACTACATTCTAAATTTCCGAAATAGCACATCAGGCACTAACAAGCGCAACGCATTCATACAGGACGAATATATGCACACTTGTCGAACAAACAGAATAACAGAGCATTAATAGGCTGTCTAAATTGTGGGGCACGCGGTAGCGTAGTCGGTTGAAGCACTATGCTACAAGCTGGAAGTTCGCGGATTCGATTCCCGATGTCGTTAATAAGATCTGAAATTTGTGACGATGCTACATTGGTACAAGAATTATGTTCTGGGACATTATCCATCGTCTTATCTATATCTAAAAACCGTCCTGCTTATTTTTCAAAACACAACGTTTCGGAGATTGGATTCTGTCTCCGAAACGTTGTTTTGAAAAATAAACAGGACGGTTTTTAGACATAGCCAAGACGATGGATAATGTCCAAAAACATAACACTTGTACCCGATGTCGCCATTGGATTTTCAATAGACCTAACCCTTCCAGCCGCACTATGGCCCTGGAGTTGACTCAGCCTCTGACAGAAATTAGAACTAAGAATATTCCTGGGGGGTAAAGGGTGACTGGCGCGTAAGGCTAACAAACACCGCCATCTGTGAGCAGATTGTCTAGAAAATGTGGGACCCTCTACGTCTCACGACCCTATGGACCTCCATGGCCTGTTACAGGGATAGCTCTACCTTTTACTTTATAGTCTAAATTGTTGGTGGATCAGCAAAACCGACGTACTTTCAATCATATCAGCAGAGAGAAAGAGTGTGTGTGTTCAGGTATAGCTAAGTGGATGTCTGATGTCTAGCGGAAGGACAGCAAATATAGACAGATGTGGTCTTATTACACGAAGATA